TGTGAAGATACAGTATCTATATTGTGGCCTCCTGGATCAATACATCACCAAGAGTATTTTTTGTTATATTTTACTAAATTATTTTGTTACAGAGCTACAGTTTTGTTGCTTGTTTAGAGGAAGGAAACTCATTTATGTAACACATTTGAAATCTTCACTGTTTTAATGATTAAAATGGGTGTGTTTCACACTAACTTTACACAGGAAGTGGTTGATTTGAAATATATTGACTTGTATCGCATCAAAAGCTCACTGTATCGTGGTCTTTTGTATCAAGGTATGTATCATATCTGCAACTTTTTAATGATAGCTACAATATTGAGAACTTTCCAGTCATTGGTTTCTCTTGAGTATAAGCAATCAGTATCAGCATCAGCCATGAAAAAATCCATATTGGGTAATCTTTAATATGGATGTGCAAAACTAAAATAAAATAAATTACAGGCCACTTGATTTTTATTCATTTAGACTATCAAAAACACCTAAAATCTACAACCAACCCACCCAAAAAGTACCTCTGAAGGAGCACCCCAAGTTGCATTCTAGGCTTCTTACTATTTATCATCAACACCAGTAGTGTAGTACATGTATAGTAACTGTCCTGTTTATTAGTGCTAATCATCTTAAGTGAGAATGGATATGGCCAGAAGCATCTACAACTTAACATGATCTATTTACAGTCATGGCCTTCAAAATTGAAAACTGGTCTGAGACAACATCAGCAGCCAGACCTGAATCAATCAGTTATTGTTTTTATAGACTGAGCCACACTTAGACAAGAGGTTATCTGCAGTATAATTCTCAAGAACACTATTTACTTGTCCTGCTTACAACTGCCTCCTAAAACTATTAAGCCATATCTCTTTAGGCATCATTAGTCGAGGTAATCCAGAGTTAGGGACAAAAACAGAAAGTAATCACAAGCTCTAAGTGGGTCTCTAAATGAGGAGATAATCTGGGGCAGGATCCTGGCTGTAATTGCTCTTGTTAATCAGGCCTTAATTTGTTGACGAGACTCATTTGAACCATTTGTCCTGAAAACATAGTAGCTCTCATTCTCAATCTGGAGTCATCCGTGTATAGAAAGTGAGCGCAGAAAATTCTAGTTGTTTGTAGATGGGTTGGGTCCAAACAAAGAATAAGACCCCCATCTACTTACACTTCTTTAATTATATTGTAGTGCATGTGAGAAGGTTTATATTAAGCTAAAAATGTCCACAATGTACTATACTCTATGCCATGTACTTATGTTATTGCTTTGCCTCAAATGTCCCACAGTATAGCATTGTTTGACTTGTATTTATGAAATTACGATTAAGTTTTCATTGCTCAAAAATATAGTTTTTACTTTGAGCAGCATTACCTCTCTGCAGATCAGACCTCCATAGACATAGAGAAGTTTAATGCCATGTAAAAAAGCACTATCATTGCAAAGGAATTATAGTACTCAAACTGCATTTTGGGCGTATTTTGGGATGGTTCTACTTTTGTAATAGCAGTACTTTACATATATTTTACAGCCTTTGAAAGTACAGTACATTCAGTCCTTTTTCAAGAGTATTTTTGCCTTCATCTGTCAATTGTACATTTGAAAATACAGAAAGATTTGTAACTGCTCTTATATATACGAAAACATCTGTATCCTCAACACCTTAGATTAGGATAATTAAATTGGACTATTGAATTCTAGCTCAGAATCAGCCTGCTGACTCACAGTGGCTCCAATTTAGAGATAAAAGTCATTGTCCAATCTGGTCTCACCATCTGAAGTCAGCACCAGCAGCCACCACAGCAGCTCAGGGCTACGTCAGATCATTTACCTCTCACCTCGCCCACAACAGAAAAAAGGGAAACTCTAGTCTGCACCTGCCACCGACTGTTTGAAGTGAGAGAGCCAGGAGGGAGCTTAAAGTGTTGAGGTGTAGCATGGGCTCAAGTGATGTCTCCAAAATACAGAAATATCCAATGACCCGAACTGGCCTGGTCTCTACTGCGCATACACACATAAAAATACAAGAGTAGATGTCAAAGAACGCAATTGAAAAAGTGTATTGATTACAAACCGCAAAAAAACACATCAATGCCCAACTATATAACCACGTGGATTTTTGAATTACAACTTCATTACAACTTCATTGCTGTCTAAATTGGTCATTATACCCAAAGGGGGTCAACAAGTCTGAGTTAGTTCCAAGCATGTATAAACAAAGGAAGAATAGAGACAGTTATTAAAGACGGGTATTTGGGGCAACCCCAGAAGGGGAAATCCAAATATGATTGAGAGTATTTGTTATAGCATCACAAATAAAAATCTAAAAGTAAGAAGACAGTTTACTACTACTTCAAAAGACAAATACATGTAAGATACTGCCAAGTTTACACAGTGTACTCATTGCATCCACACCCAGTCTTAATAAATGAAACAAAAGAAAGAACAGCCTAAATATAAGCACGTACATGCTTAAAAATTACACAACAGGCCTATCTGTAAACAGTACTGAATCATCATGACATACGAAAACTTTTAAATTTTAAAATCCAAAATAATACTCACAGGTTTTGTATAGTATAGTCAAAATACAAAGACGCTATCCTCTCTAAATGTCCAAGTCCCTCTCACCCCTAAAGAAACTCTTCTGCAGCTGAAATGACTCACATCCCCTCAACCTCTGTCAACCATCAGGACGGAGTGGGTAAACATGTCCAAATAAGGGGAAAATATGGAGACACCATTCAGGGCAATATCAGTTTGGTTTTGCTTTTAGACTGGAATGCCACAGTCCCTGAGCAGAGCCAGTCTTGTGGTGCATACCTTTCACTAGAAATAATAATGATGATTGTGGAGAGAGCCGCTGGTTTGGGGTACAGTCTGACCTAAGATGGGTAGAAGTGAAATGATGCCGTGTGAAGTTTGTAGTCACGGGCTAATGCAATATAACAGTTTAAGTTTAAGTATGTTCTCGTAGGTGTACAGCAGTAAATTTGAAATCGCTATTTGAATAGGTGCAATTATGAAACCACAGTCTATAATTATTTAGCTTATAGTGCCTTTTAGTTTTTAAAGCTTTACAGACACGTTCTGAAATTCTTGTAGAAGTTTAGTAGTGATGATGCTTCTGGATCTGTTTGACCTGTGCATTCTGAAATGAATCCTACTTTTGAAAAATAATTTGCAAATCTAATCTTAAGCGCAATGCTTGTCAAAAAAAATCACAATTACATTTTTCCCCAAAATCGAGCAGGTTTAGCAGAGTGGTTAACAGTACCGCATGAAAAGACACTGAACAAAGACACACACACTGACTAAAAACTAAATCTACCCAAAAGAAGAGATATGAAAGTCTGAGACCTTGGACTTCTGCAATAGAATCTTAAAGCCACAGTGTGTAACTTTTAAGTCCAAAAGTGACTAAAATGTAAGGCTGGGTATCATTAAGAAGTTGCCGATACGATACAAACCTCGATACAGAGGGCATGATACAATATGTATATCGATAGAGTGAGCTTTTGATACGATATATTTCAAATTGATTCGATACGGTTCAATAAAAATAATGGCTACATCATGATTGTGATACTAAAAGTCTTTGTTAAGCGACTTCTTGGGAAAGTTCAGATGAAACACGCCCATGTTAATCATCAAAACAGTGAGTAGGTCAAATGTGTTGCATAAACAAGTTTCCTTCCTCTAAACAAGCAACAAAACTGTAGCACTGTAACAAAATAATTTAGTAAAATATACCAAAAAATATTTATCGATACAGCAGCCCATGATATTGATACTGTATCATCACATTAAACAATACGATATATCGATATTGCAATATTTTTGTACACCCCTAATAAAATGAAAGCATGTTTTTTTCCTATTGGTTGTGTTTATTGCACTGAAAAACATGTGTCCTGAGCAGGCTTGCATTTCCATTGACCTGACTTTTATTTGGCATGGAGGAGAACATGGAAATGCTGTTCCTTTGAGTAAAATTGTCCACGGTATGGCATAAAATGTAACTATTTCCAGGGAGAATGTTCCATAGTGTGGTTTTAAAAGGTGAGAAAATTGCAGTACATTTAAGCATAATGTTTTAAAAAATGTATCTTAGCATGTTTGGCCTGTATCTGAAATTGTCATACTTGTCAAGCATGTAATCAATATCCACTGCCCATCTAAGGCTCATAGATGTTGGGACAGACTGCCAACAAGAGCACACAGAAGAGGAATGTTTTTAAGCACGTATGTATGACTTCATTTAGCAAACGGGGACAGATTAAAAGGTAAGGCTATAGCCCATTTACCGCAAGGAGTCTCCAGATTGTCTTCAAGTGATTAAGGATGTGTAATTAAAGTTGAGTAAGTCCCCATGAGCGGCGCAGGTCAGAGAGATCATGTAATATTAAACAGCCACAGAAACTGGAGCTAGCACTGATGTGTGTGTGCGGAGGAGAGCCATGTGTTTCCTGAAACAGAACAACCCACTTGGTCCAAATCCCCCGAGGAGCGGACGCCTTTTAGACAAATGAAATACTTAAACGCTTATGCGCCGTAAAACTGATGAGAAGACTTAAGAGACCGCAATTACAAGAAGAGCAGGTGTCCAGTGGCAGCTATGAAAGATTCAAACTTTTGACTGTGTAGGACATAACATACTGAGTGAAAGTCAGGTTTTTAAATGATCGGGACAAGTAAATAGATGAAATTATCTCTTTACTGGATTGTTACAGTCTTAAAAATGAGAAAAGCATCTTAAGAAAAGAAAAATGCTTATAGATGCATGACGATGATGCGTTTATAAGCACTTTTCACAACTTTCAGAGGAGTGTTGCCATTAAGGTAACAATAACTACCATACAATCTGGCCCTCCCTGATTCTCAAACAAAATAAGACAAATAAAACTTCTTTCAAGCACTCATGGATCCAAACTTACTAATATTGGCATCCCACACTCATATAACATTGAAGCTCTGCACAATATTAAGCATTTCATTAAAATCAGCTTACCTTTTTTCTGTGGAGTATAAGAGGTCCAAGTTGAATGCTAAATTGACGTCTTGAAATCTGTTGAGAAACAAAGATATTTTACTGAAATGAACAGCACAAACACAACTAACGTGCAGAATTTCACACCACTCCTTCATATTGTAAGCATGACACTTCTGTCTTGGCTTCCTGTCTGAGGTGTAATAATGCAACATTTTACAGGTAGAAATGTAAAAAAAAAAAATCATAAAAAATGTATGATTAATTTCACAGTTTACTAGAATATACTTCAGTGTTTTCCACAGACCAAGTAGCACTGTGTGGTGCCCCCTCCCCCGATCAGACGGAGACTGTAAGGCGCGCCGGTACAGTTTAATCATACAAATTATGTTAGTGGAAGACCTGTATTTTAAGTTTCAAGTTGCAACTTACCAATATTTATGTTAAAGTTTAGCTTTTATCTGAACTTTAGATTATTTGACATTCAAGAAATTAATTACAAAAAACCTAAGTAAATCTTGAGGGTTTTATTTCAAATACTTAACTCAAGACCTATAGCTCAACCAGTATTATAACTTGTTCTTGTATTTAGCTTATTATATATATATTTTTTTTTTTGGTAAAACAAAATAAATAGTATAATATAATAATACAAATAAAATAAATAAGTTACTATAATTAGATATAAGAAACTGCTAAAAGGAATGAGGCAAAATCAATTTGTGGTGCTCGGTTTTCATTCTGTGGTGCTGTCTGTGTACGGGAAACACCCATACTTCATAATTTGCCAAAAGCTACACATTACAGAGGTTTACTTTATTAGAAAATGAACAGTGGGTCATGACACAAAAAGGATCATGATGAGGATTATGTTATGATATTATGTTATGACATACAGTGTGAATACAACGCAGAGTTAATCAGCTGCAAAGCCATATTAAAGTACTATATACACCCACACAAGGATATTTATAGTCCTTACATCAGTCAGGTGAACATTCAAGCAGGAGAAACCTTACAGAGACATAAAACATATTTCCAAAACTTGTAATAACCTTTGACCTTTCTCACTGTCAACAGAGTCTGCAGTGGTTTCACTTGTAACGAGATAAGAGCGATATGTCTTTCCTGATCTAGAAAAGATGACATTTGCCCTTTGGCTGAGTCAGACATGTCATGACCAGAAATGTTATACGACTTTAATGTGATCAAATACACAGATAGATGTTCATTTAGTATTAGTTTAGAATAGCAATGACAGTGATTGACATTTTTTAATAAATATGACAGATTTTTAAAAGGTTTTACAGGGTTCTGACAGTTTATGTGCACACAGAGCTCTCCTTTTTGATTTCAACATTAAGCATACTACTTTGTCCCCAGGATGTTGCAAGCTCAGGTTGGCAGGTGATTTCTGATGCAACGGTAATGCTATTTGGCTAAATCAGACTTACACTATATCTGCTGCAATGAACCTGCCACCCTTTGCTGTAACCTGACATTATAGTTCTGAGCACTTTTATATTAAATGTTTAAAAATAAATACAGAAGAAAAAAAAACAAGACAAGGTGAGCAGGCGAGTTGAAAATAAGATGTCTGGGCAGTGACGCTCCAAGTTTATTTTCCAACTGCAAGGCTAAATCAGGACTGAACCAGGACTGAAACAGGAACAATCCAGGACTAAACCAGGGGGAAATCAGGACTAAATCAGGCTTAAACCAGGGCTAAACCAGGACTAAATCAGGGCTAAACCAGGTCTAAACCAGGTCTAAACCACTACTAAACAATGGGGAAATAAGGACTAAAGCAGGTCTAAACCAGGACTAAACCAGAGCTAGACCAGGACTAAACCAGAGCTAGACCAGGACTAAACCAGGGCTAAACCAGGGCCAAACCAGGGCTAAATCAGGGCTAAACCAGGGCTAAATTAGGACTAAACCAGAGCTAAACCAGGACCAAACCAGGACTAACTATACTCGTGGTTTAGTCTTGGTTTACTTTCAAACTATGCAAGGACTTAAGGTCAATTATTACAGGACTAAGGAATGAGTAAAAACACTAAACAAAAAAAATAAATAAATAAAAAAAATTTAAGTTGGCTATCTCACCTCACAAAAACATTAAAGCTGTCTCAACAGCTGTCTTCATTAACAATAAACGGCTGAATGATTTTAGACAATACTCCAAAAAACACAGCATGTTCTGTCCATCATAAAGCAAAGCAGTGTAGTGACAAAAAAGTAGGGATGGGCGATATATCGGTTCAAGTATCATTAGTGGTCAATATCAATCTATCTATATTCGATACCAATATTTATTTAAAAGTTTATTTGTGATCTTTACTTACTAAACTCAATCTGTGGGCCTTGATATGGATTTTAAAAGCTAAATATTGGTAGGGGCAAAAGCAGCAGATCAAATATCTGATATCGGTATTGATCCAAAACATCCATATTAACCATTCACTACAAAAAAAAAAAAAGCATGTTATCCTTTTGGTCCTATTGTGCTAAACTGCCTTTTAAAGCCAGGGCTATAATACTGTCCTCTCATCTAACAAAGTAAGAATTTGGAATGATTGCATAATTCTGTTGGGCTGAAGAGTAAAAGAAAATTGACCGTTCAATCAATACCAATCCACAATACTGTCCCCTCTTCTTGCCATTTTTCCTCAGTATTCCAACAGTGTTAAAGATACTAAGCCAGCGAGCCAAAGTTATCCACACAAACAGGAAGAAATGCAAACTCCATTGTGGCCGCGTCTGAGAATCAAACCGACAACCTCAAGAGCCCTAACCTCTCCAACCATTCACACAGAAACTCTTACTTAACGCAAAAACACAAAAAAACAAAGCAAATATTATCTTAAATGTCATTATCAATGTCACATCACTGGATATAAGACTGCATAGGACTGTCTGCACTCACCATGTGCTTCTCTGGGACAGTTTGTACTCTGTTTAATCCATGTGAGGCAGTTCAAAATATGAAGAATTACCTCTCCATTTATGAGCAAAGAGCCAAAGAATGAAGCGACCAAAAGAATGCAGAGTGTGGTCCAGCGCAGTGTCTCATTCATCACCATTTAATCTCAGCTGGAGCCACAACATGCATTAATATAAACGCTTTCACTGCTGAGGGAAAACCCACTTCTACAATGGACCACTGCAGGTTCTTTTATATACACTTTCTACTAGGGTTGCCAAAAGTATCAAAAATCAAATCCTAATCAATACTAAAACCAGTACTGAAACTACATACTGATTTAAGCAATACTGAAAAAAGTATTTACATAACTGGATAATATTTGATCTTTCATCATTTGAACAGTTTCATCTTGAGTTTTATCAGACCTATACTGTAAGACTACATGGTATAATTAGCACACTATGATTTAGTGTCGAAAATGAATATATTGTGTAAAAAAAGTTTTAAATTATAATTTGGGTATCAAAATCTACATTGAGTCTATTCTTTAGCAAATTCAAAATTTTTGTATTGTGACAACACAATTTTTTTACTCAACACAACCAAATGAACATCTGATCTTTTGGGTGATAATTATCAAAATAAAAATCTTTTATTTTAAATTATTATTACCAAGGTAAGATTTAAATTTAGGTAGATTTAGGTAAGATGGCAATCTATCCCAATGAGCTAAATGTGACTGTAAATGTCTCTTTTGAGGCTCAAATATCATACAAATCAATAATGAACTGAAAAATTTACCAAAAAATTTACCAAAAAGTGCAGAAATATCGCCTCAAGTGCTTTTTTAAAATATTAAAACAGGAAGTTTGTTTTGTTACATTGTTGTTTTAATCAGCTCTTTTAGCAACCCTTTATTTTTAAAATTTTATGTTCTTAATAAATGTAATAAAATCACTAAAAAGGTCCCTTCACATAACAATGAATAAGACTGTTATAGTCTCAAATAGAACATTTACAAAATGGGGCATGATGCAAAAATAATTATTTACTTTTTTTGCATGTATTGAGAGTTTCTGACCTCACACATGTGCTCTCAGGTCTTCATCAGTATGCATGAGTGTACAGTGATATAGTGTCATCACTGCATTACCCAAAATCAACTCTAGTAACCTAAGCCGTGTTAGAACGATGTTACCTCTTCAAAAACATACCTGGAGTTGTGTTTTGTTTTCAGTCACGTATGTTTGTCTATCTACATCTTCAAAGTTCAAAATGCTCTCTTCCACCTTCTGAAGTAATGTAGTAGCAGTTTCCAAGTTAACAGCTACCTTTTACCATCAATTTAGTACAGACTGGCAATTCCAGGGCTGAAATCATCCAAATGATTCTTGTGAAGGTGTGTGAAGCACTTTCTGTATTACCACATGACATAACAAGGTGGAAAAGAGTGTTTTCTGTTTGAGAGAAGAACTGTTTCAATATGGTGAATGAAACAAAACACAACTCCAGGTGTATGTTTTTGATGAAGAAACAACATTATAACATAGATCAGAAAATAGCGTTTTATGGGCGCTTTAAACCATAACAGGTCTTTAGCCCCGCCCCCAGCAGGAGAGCAGCCCTACACCCTGACAGGCCCCGACATGCCCCCTATCTCCATCAGCTCTCTCAGTGCTCTCTCCTATGGCACTCATTGACTCATGTAACATCACACTGGGGCCTGTGTTTTGCACTCTGTCTCCACTTTGAGCACTATTTGACATTAAAGGATTCATTCACATGTCACTCCAGGGGTTAGCTCAGATCTTCACCTCAGCGGGTACAGCGGGGAAACCATTAACAGTATTTTGGATTATAAAATGTCAGAGTACACGTTAGAACTGCAAAAAAATAACCAGCTGAAGATTTTTGGAGTGTCAAGTATGAATTGTGTTTTAAATGTGTATTTTAAATGTACTTTTACTACTACTGCTGCAATAAAGGAATACTAAGGCAAATGCTACTGTGTGAATATGCGGGTGAGTAGTTCCTTTTATATTACCCTTTATGAGCTTGACAGCTTCGCAAAATGTACTCACTATAGTCATTTTTCATTCACTGTAGGTAACTTTTGTAGTCACTGCCCTGGGGTAGACTAACAAAAGCC